GTGAGTGAGACTCAGATACAGTTCTTCAACGTCCTTGGTCAGGTTTGGGTATCAAGGTTATTGAAGTTCTTGAAGATGCTGTGGCATATGTGTTTTTCCTGTACTCTGCAAAAGTTTCAAGTCTGAACATTTTTTGATCCAGGAATTGTGTGATATGACCGTGAGCATGCCATGCATAGTGTGCTTCCACAAGAAGGACTGGAAATATGTTTCTTTAATGGTAGTTCATCCCTAAGTCTTACGGCCTCTTGTAGGCTCTTTCAGTCCAGAAGTGGTCTTCACTTCTCAAGTTTGCTAGAATGTAAGTTCCTTCAATAAGATCTCAGGATGGTTTCCTGTTTTTCCTAACCTGACCCTTTTGCAATAATCACGTCAATTGGGTCTTCTTTCATTACATTTAGTTTGGCAACTGATAACAGGGCACTGGAGCGGCTACTCACTTCAGCTTGTCTGTTGTGTTCTGTTCAGGAATTGCAAGTGGGCACACTGATCCGCGACACTAATAGCTCAGAGAAAATAATCTTTGTTCTTGACATCTGCAGGCGAGACTAACACTTCATCACTAGGTGATTACAATTAGATAGACATCATTTGACAAAACCTCCACCTGTGAGAAGGTACCCTTCAGTCTGAGATCATCACTGTCCTATTTATAACCTGCCTGCAAATGAGTTTCCCAGCAAGATGGCTCTTTAGGGATACGAATTCCCACCTTCTCTGACCAGCTAGCTTATTGTAATAAAGCTCTTTATTAGTACTCTGCCTCTCAACTGACTGGTTTCCATATGGGGTAAGCAGAGTGACTCGTCTGCATGGAAGCATTAGGCCAAAGACTTGTGAATAGTTTTATAAGCAAGTGCTCACTGCAATATTTATAATGTGCTATGTCACAGAGGATTTGTTAACATACTACACTTATAAAATAGTACTTTATGGAGCCATTAAACATTAATGGAGCATTTCCTGACCCAGTGAAGTTCAAAGTTACTGTGTATGATACATAACTACTAAAGGCAGTTTTCATCCCTTAGTTATGTGTTAAACAAATGAACAACAAAAGAGTAGATGGAAATAGCCATTCTTGGTTTGCCTGGATAGTGGAATTTAGAAGACCAGGCTGTAAAAATACATTTGCTTATGTTGCCTAAGAGAGACACTTTAACAACTGCAGCAACAAAAATTTCCCCTAAATTTGGCTCACCAGCAGCCTTTATGGGCTCGTAGAGTGTAGACGGTCAAAGAATTTCTCCTTGCTTTTAACAAGCAGCAGCAGCAGCAGCAGCAGCAGCAGCAGCAGCAGCAGCAGCAGCAGCAGCAGCAGCAGCGGAGGCATGGGTCCTCATACCCTGTGCCGTGTAATGCAATTGCCTCATGAGTTTGTACCTGTTTTCTTATGCATCTGGAAGAGAGTCATTGTTCTTTACTGAAAGAAGGCAGGACTAAATGAATGAGATCATGCTTTATTGAGGCCTGAAGCCTGTTAATGGGCACATTGTAGGGTGAGTTGAATAAATACACACCAAATCTCTTCTTTCTTTTCAAGGTGTTACTACCGACTTTTGCTGCTTGACCACCACCCCATCAGCTACAACCACATGCTTCATGTAGTGGCTTGTGCTCAAACCATCGCAATAAATCTAGTCTTTCCCCTCTATTCTGTGGTACTATGTTACCATCTCAGAAGACACCTAATTGAAAAATTATGCTCCATATGGAGGGTTTTTTTTGGGGGGGGAGCAAGGATTTTTCCAAAATGCAAAAGAGGATTTTAAAAACACACGAGCCTGAACGTGAAGTTTTCATAGATGACAGTCATAACAATGCAGATTAAGGTAGTATCACGATACAGTCTTCAGCATTTTTCTGTAGATACATTCTCCCATGTCTCTGTGTTGGGTTCATTGATTGATTGTGATTCCTAGCAGCAGCAAAAACTACTGTGTAGTCTAATGATCGTTTCCTGTTTAGCTGTTAAAGGAAAGGCAGAAGCCAACTGTTCCCAAGCGCTTATTTTCTGCATAGATATCACCAGGCCTCTTGTGACTTTGTATAACCACGAAGGCAACGGATAGAAACTTGTCTCTTTGCTAATTCAAGCTCTTTATCTCATTTGGGATGTGTTGATTCATGGAGAAAAAAATAAAAATAAGAAAACAAAAATAAGAAAAACCAAATTGTTCCTTGAGTGAATTACTTTTGCTAGACCTTTGAAAGGCTGTTGATTTCTGTTGATTTCAACCAGCGATGGTAAAGACCAGGTTTATGGAAGGCTTTCCACCTTCAGAACCCAGGTCAAAAATCTTTCGTAAACTTACATGTGGTTGAATCAAAATTGGACCTAGCAGCTTAATGCAACCCAGACCCCCTAGTCCTTGAGTGGATTGAAAAGAGAACAGAACAAAACAAAACAAAACAAACCCTCCTTTCAAGAAGTTACTACTTACACATAGACCTTGGAAATCAGATCAATATAGGCAAGCCCTGAACAACTGTGTGTATACATCACAATCCCCTAACCACCTTGAAAACCCTCTGGCTGGAGGAATTCCCATTTTATATCTGAGGAAACAGGTTCAGAGATTAGATAGTGCATCTGGTCACATGGCTCATGAGCTGGGAACAGAAGGGGTTACACACCCTTCCTGGTTATGTGTATATTTAGGATGTAGTCTATGGTTTTCTATAACAGAACTATTTTTACTGCCTTGAGGCAAACTTGCAAGGATATTTGTTACTTGAGGACACACAGAAAAGTGTCAAATGCTGGGGCTGGAGTGAAAAAACCCACCCCCTATAACATTTGGACTATCGTCAAGATTTCAGTTGACATGTGATCGACTATGCACGCCCTAATTACCAACATAGGGGACATCAATTCCTCTCTCCTTTATTCTTAAGACTTTGTGGGTGGTGGGGGTGATGGAAGGAAGCTTCAGTCATCTTGGCCCCAAAGGATATCTGGGTCTGGCAGGAAATAATAGAATTGTACTTTTGCAACTTGGTCTTTCAAATTCTGCCATCCAGAATACTTCCTTGACATATGACCTTTTAATGAAGAATATGACCTCACTATAAACTTCACCATATTATGAAACTTCATAAACTAACAGCGATATAAGGTTCTATTGTGTAAGTGTGCCATGTTAGCAAACCATTTGATGGTGTTTGTGTGTATGTGTGTGTGTGACAGTGTGTGACAAGAGTTTCTCTGTATAGCCCTGGCTGTCCTGGAACTTACTCTGGAGCCTATGTAGTCTGGAACTCAGGGATCTGCCTGCCTCTGCCTCCTCAGTGCTGGAATTAAAGGCGTGCACCATCAGCAAGATCCTATTCTAAACACTGCAGCAAATGTTCACTTATAACACTGTCCACAGCTCTTAGCCTAAAATATCTAAAAATGGCCGGGGGGTGGTGGCTCACGCCTTTAATCCCAGCACTCCGGAGGCAGAGCCAGGCAGATCTCTGTGAGTTCAAGGTCAGCCTGGCCTACAGAGTGAGATCCAGGACAGCCGGGACTATTTCACAGAGAAACCCTGTCTCAAAGAAAAAAAAAAAAAAAAAAAAGAGCTGGAGAGATGACTCAGAGATTAAGAGCACTGGCTGTTGTTCCAGAGGTCCTGAGTTCAATTACCAGCAACCACATGGTGGCTCACAACCATCAATAATGAGATCTGATGCCTTCTTCTGGCCTGCAGACATACATGCTGGCAGATCACTGTATACATAATGAATAAATAAATCTTAAAAAAAAAATCTAAAAATGGAATTTCTGGTACAAAAGTTATGGCATACTTTTAATACTCATTTTTGTAATGAGTTTTGTTATACTTCTCCCCATACCCAACTCCAAAGGACATGCTTATCTTGTCTTATTTTTGCCTTGACCGAGTATGTGCCCTTTATAGCCTCAAACCTGGAAGAAGGGAAAAAAAAATCCAGCTCTGACTGTTATCTTGACTTCTTGTTTGACCCTGGTTTCACCCAATTCCAAACTAGTTAAAAGCAGGAAACGCACAAGTCTCAAGTGCATCTGCTCTTGGACGTGTTTTTCCTTTTAAGATGAGGGTCACATCAAACAGTATTACTTGGTCCTTTAGAGGGCTTTCACAATCCGACCGCCCGTTTTATTCAGGGACATTGGATATGGGTCAATGCTACTGGACTTAAAAGTATGCAAAGAACCGATGGGCTCTCTCCTCCAGTGTTCGCGGTGGACAACTTCCTAGTGGCTTCTCCCGAGGTTGTCTAGGGTTCTAAGAAAGCCTCCGGGCTCCTTACCCCGGGCCAACGCTGGTTCAGAACCGCAGGAAGCTCACGTTCAAATGGTCCGCCTTAGCGGAGCGTCTGGACGAGCTCTCCCCGCCTCCCCAGCCCAGCCTGCCTCTTTAGAGGGCATCCGCCCTTCTAACCCGCAGGTCCTGGGTAGTTCAAGGCCACAGGAAAGCGCTCGGGGCTGGGGAGAGAAAGTCAAGTTTCGGTGGCTACCACGCCTCCCACCGCCCCGAGCGGACGTCCTACAAAGGGCTGGGGCGGGGACACCGCCGCCCTCCGGCCTCGGGCTGGGAGCTTCTCGGGGTCTCCAGGCCGGGGGGAGCCCCCAAAGCTCGGCGGGCGACTGCGCCTTCCCCAATCTCGGGCCGGCGCTTCCGCCCGCCCGCCTGCCCCGCCCCCCCCCCCCCCCCCCCCCCAACCCCCCGCCTTGCACACAGGAACCAGCACCCTCCGGACTCCCGCGCTTCACTGCTGCCCGCCGCCGGGGTGCCTCCCCTTTTATAGGCGCTCGGGCCAATGAGCGCGCGCCTTCCCTTCGGCCCGCCCTCCCGGCCAATCGCCGCTCCCCTGGTGTAATCTTCGGCTCCTCGGCTACTCTCGGCGATTTTCGCTGTTGCTGGCATTTTCAGGAGCTGCTCTCTCGCAGCCCGAGACGCTGCTTTTTTTTTTTTTTCTTTTCTTTTTTTTTTTCCGGGTTCGGAGCCATTCCGGATGCTTTAGGCTGCCGGATGTCTGATCTCCGGATAACTGAGGCGTTTCTGTACATGGATTATCTGGTAGGTGCGGGGGCGCGGGTGGCGGGGGTCGCCTCTCGGATCGCGCGGTGGCCCATGGCCCCCCACGCCTGGAAGCGGCAAGGCAGCCTCTCGGCTGGCTTTCTTTCTTTGGGATGGGATGCCCTGGGCTGCTTTCTCCCCGGGGCTGGCTCTGAGGGGCGGCGTCGGGGGTGGGGGGAGGCCGGGCTGACAGGTCCCGGACGCGGCGGGGAGCGGCGGGGCTGCGGGCGCTGAGGCCACGCTCCGCTCCGCGCGCCTCTCCACGCTCCCGGCGCAGGACTTTTCTTTCCGGGGAAGCTGGAGTTTTCCGCTCTCCCCTTCGCAGAACTCCAGGTGCTATTAGAGAGCCATAAGCAGAACGGCTCGCTAAGTGCCCGGCAGGTCCGGTCATTTGGTTGTTATTAGATCTCTAAAGGAATGACCTGGGTCGCGGCGGGATTTTAAAAACACATTACCAGAAAGTAAGACCGGACTAAACCACATTTGCAACCCGGCCTGCTCAGGATTGGGCAGGGACAGGCATTGCCCCACGGCTCTGGTTGTGGTGCACGCCGCTTTTGCTTTGTGCACGGCTTGGCAGCCGGTTTTAAATCTGCCCTGTGCTGGGAAGTTTAGGTGGGAAAAGTTTTTTTTTTTTTTAGCACAGCGCAGGAACGGAACACTCGTACGTGTTTCTAGAATTGTGCAAGCCTTGTGTTTTTGTTCCAGACATTGTATTTCCACAGAGCTGCCCGTTTGTGGTCATGCAGATCCTCCTTGACAGGAGCTGTGTTCGATCCCATACAATTACTGTGTTGATGGTGTGAGGCTGAACCGCTCTGCCATGCAGAGCTCAAGGAGATGGTTAGAAGCGTTGGCCCTCCTGTCATCTTGTAGGACACATGGTTTTCCACTGCAGATTGGCCTGGCAGAGATTTGCCAGTGCCTTCTAGGAATTGCACTTGAGGCTGGACCGAGAAAGACTGAGTGCTTTCCTGCTGCCTTTGTAACGTTACCTGTGCAGGAGGGTTTATTTTAGATATGCAGGAATATACGTTTCTGCTAAAGCTTCAGAGTTTGATGAACTCACTGGCAAGGATGGAGAGCAGTTAATGCACGGGCTTGAGAGCGAAGCCGAAATCAAAGACTCTGAGTTGAAATTTGGTTTTGCTGTTTGCATATTTACGGCAGTAACTTCTGTCTTGGCCGTAAAGGGGTGTTACCCACACTCACTGCTGGAGCCAGTTTAAGTGAGTTATCTGTTTATGAACATTCTTTAAAGTACGAAGGTGCCTTGTAGGTTGGTGAGTCTTAAATACGTCCAGAAGACTATTTTCAAAATTAAATGACTGAGCTTATTCCATACAGTGCTATGGCTATCTCTTGTAATCTGCCCCAGTAAAAGCCAGTTTGTGGAGGAAAAAAATTCCAGAGAAGAAGAAAGTATAGGCTACATGACTTATACTGCTGGAAGCTAATTTTTGATACTTAACTAAGTAGTGCTTCAAAGAGGAATTCGGGGCTTCTCATCATTTTCTCATTATTTGTCGAGGCTGTTTTAGAACTCTATCACACAGCTGTCTTTTGGGGTGCCAGGCCCACTAAAAGCACCGAGGGAAAACAGTGTTCAACATTACTCAGGTTAACCTCCATCTAGACGTAGGTTCAGGACAGGCGGATGAGTATTTGTGGGCATAGGTTCCACTGAGAGTTTAGGTCCCGGTCCCTGGGCCCTGGTTCTGACCTGGCTTGTTTGTTTTAACTGCTCTGCCCCAGCCCCTTGTCCGCCCTTAGTGTAAGATCATTCTTCTGTCGCTTTCACTGTGCTTCCAGAAATTCCCAAGTGCAGCGAAACAGCCCCGTCCAAGTCCTTGGCTCTCCTCTGAGGAGCAGAAAGCACAACCTTAAAGGCTGTAACAGTTCAGGTTTTATGAGTGTGTTAGGTACCGTCGTGAAAACACTGAAGAAAATCCTCCACTATTAAATGGACCGGAGGGAAAACAACCAACACCAGCTCCCGAGGTAGCTTTATGGTGCTTGCTTTTTGCTGATGAGCTCTCAGAGAAAGGGGCGAGCTACATCACTCCTTTCTTCCTGTCTTTCAGGTTGACTTGTCTGCTCACGTATAGTCTTTGCAGGGTGTTGATTTAAAATCCCATTTCTGAAAAAAAAAAAAATACAGGGTCGATTTCTTTGATCGTGCCTTGGATCTTATTAGTGAAGTAAATTGATTCCTAGGTTCTTTTACTTACCTTCCAGGAAGGGGAAAAAAAAAATGTTTCTTTCATTCCAAGTTGGATTGCAGGCTTTGCTGAGTGGACTGGAGTAAGTGCTCTTTTCTTGCTCCTGACGGAGTCATGGTGTGTGGCCTTCTTTCTTCTCTGGGAACAGTGTTCTGCATTTTTGTTGTTGTGTTGGAAAGAAAAAAGCTGTGTGTGGAGGTATTGTCCATTGTTCTTTATTTGGGTATCATCACTTAATTGTTCTTGTTTGGAGGTGAGTCCAAAGGAAGGAAGAAAGAGATGGTGTGTGTGTGTGTGGTGTGTGTGTGTGGTGTGTGTGTGTGGTGTGTGTGTGAGTGTGTGTGTGTCCGTCCTCGTGTGTGCGTGCGTGTGCGCGCACATAGGACTGAGATGGTAAGATGAATGAAGGGAACTCTCTGATCTTAGAGGGTGCAGCTATTTCTTGAATGTTCGCAGAGGTGACAGCTAAGGGGACGGTTCCGCCTTAATGTTTAAGACAGAGGTTTATTACTCTTGGTTCAGGGAGAGAGTGATAACTTGCAAATCCTAAGTAACTGCATGTTACACCTGGCACTGGCCTGACTTGGCGCCTGGCATGAGGCTAGAGCCCAGGATTACATGTTGATTGAATGTGAGGTGGGAGGGGCAGTTCGGTTCCCGTTTCTGGCTTCTAAACTGAGGCAAGATAATATCTGTTTGGATTAGGTGCTTTGACTCTGGGAATGCAGAATGTATCCTTTACACTCAAGATTATCAAGATAGAATTTGTTTAGCAATTTAAACGTGAAAGTCTTATCTTTTCTAGATAATGCGGGTGTCAGCTGAGAAGGTCGCATCTCCTTCCCCTTTCTCTTGAGGGAGTTTGTAAGTCATGTTCTACCCAGACAGGTGAATGGGTCAGGGTTTAGCTGTCACCAATAGGCAGCATCTCTCTCTCTCTCTCTCTCTCTCTCTCTCTCTCTCTCTCTCTCTCTCTCTGGTTTTCTGAGACTGGGTTTCTCTGTGTAGCTTTGCGCCTTTCCTGGAAACTTGCTTTATAGACCAGGCTGGCCTTGAACTCACAGAGATCTGCCTGCTTCTGCTTCCTGAGTGCTAGGATTAAAGGCGTGCGCCACCACCACCCGGCACACACCTCTCTTGCTTTGATGGGTTAAGGTAATGTTTAGAACTTTGTAAAGAGAAAAAAATAGGATAGAATAAGTTATTATATGAATAGGATTATTTATTATTATAACTAATTAATACTACTATAGGAATAGGAAAGTATAAGAATATTTTAAATTCTACCAGAATAGAACTTATAATAAAACGATACATTATGCATTTCTTTCTAGGGAGGGTGGACAGGGTTAATTTCTACATTCCTTTCAGTTCAAAATGTTTTTGCCTTGCATGTTCATTGGTGTGGGTTTCACCTTTTCCTCTTTGTACCAACACAGCAACAGTACAGTTCATCATCATTCTCCACAGAATACCAGTGATGATTAAAAGAGATAGTGGAGGTAAATTATATATATATAAATAATATATATAATGTACTGTTTATATATAATTTATATATAAACAGTACATTGGCTTTCAAATAAAAATGTTAACACATTATGATTATGTTGCTGATGTTATACTTCCTGAGGAATGACTGTTATTTAATGGTAAGGGTTGGGTTGCGTTTTAAATTAGTCTCCATATATTGAAGAATTGGGAGGGTATTCAGGAAGCAAGAAGTGATAAGACTTTTGAGGGTCATTTAATACCTCTAAAAAGTAAAGCCACGTTCTCATATTTTTAAGGTTTATTTGCATCATATATATATACATATATATAATACATATATACATATACATACATATGTATATGTATATATATATTACATAAATGAGTATTTGCCTGCAAGTGTGTATACACCACATATGCAGTGTTTGCAGAGGCCAGAAGAGGGCGTCAGACCCCCGGACCTAGAGTGATAGACACTTGTGAACTGCCCTGTGTGGAACTCAGGTTTTCAGCATGATCGTCTCTGCAGCCTACTCACGTGTTCTTTAGCCCATTCAGCAAATACTTATGCAAGCCCTCCTTGTATATGTTCCCGGAAGCCACGGAGAATGAATTACAGTGCTCCCCTCGGTTGTGGGACTGCAAGGCACAGGGCTCTTGGGGAGCCTGTGGCGGGAGAGGTTGAGGTGGCCTATGGAGATAAGGCAGGTTCTGACATGCTCTTTGGCTTCGTAGCGCACTTCTTTCTTGCGTGCGTTTCTTTGTTTTCATTACGGAATGAAATGTAAAGTGAGACTTGCTAATGTGTCAGACCTGCTCGATTGGTCTTAGGTGCTGTCAGCTGTTCATTTGTCTCTTAGGCTTGGGATTTAGTAAGGTTAACTTACTAAGATTTCTTCTCTGTATTCACTGATGAACTTGGCCTAGTTTCTTGGTCATAGACTGTACCTGCTTAAGGAGGGCGCGCACGCACGCACGCACGCACGCACGCACGCACGCGCGCGCGCGCGCGCACACACACACACACACACACACACACATACACGCTTCCCCAGGTTCACAGAGCTAGCAAGTGAGTGAGGTGGCCTTGTAGCTAGCTCTAGGGCCCCTTTTTCACTGTCTCTCCCTCCAAGCTGTTCTCTCTAACACAGGGCAGGGATTCAGGCACTTGGTAGTAAAAGCTGATGGAAAACAGTTGGATATTTACATGCTTCATGTAAATACAAGTAACCTTTATTGAGAAGGCTGGGTGGAAGGTATTGTGTGCTCAGCCTTCTGTCCCGT